TAAAGGGTGTGGATTTGCAAGAGTGTGGAAGATTGTCTTGAGTACCATGTCCCCTTCTCTGAATTGTCAGGGAACAACTTTTCTTTGGTATGCCATCTCGATTCTACACTAGTAAGCAACGATATTTTGTGTTGCTTGCAGTCGTCTGTCATCCAAAGTAACGAGGGTAGTGATTCGTGCTTCGATCTTTTGTTCCTCATCTGAACATTTGTGAATAAGCACTCTGAGAGATGGTATCTCAACTTCAATGAGTAGCACTGCTTCGATACCATACACTAATGAGTATGGGGTCATGTCCATAGGAGTCTTCTCAGTTGTCCGGTAGGCCCATAGCGCGTCATTTAGCTTTTCGTGCCAATCTCTGCCACTTTCTATTATTCTGTCTATAACCTTGGGAAGTCCTTTGTTCGTGGTCTCTGCTTGTCCATGTCCTTGAGGGTAGTAAGGTGTGGAGAATTTTTGTGTTATCCCGAACTTTTTGCATACCTTAGTAACCCTTTCATTTTTTAAGTTGGATCCATTGTCAGTAATGATTGACTCAAGAACACCGAATCTGAATACAATGTTGTTCTTTATGAAATAAGCAACATGTCGTCCCTCAATTTTGACAAATGATGCGATCTCTACCCATTTTGTGATGTACTCTGTAGTCATTAATATAAAACAGTGGCCGTTTGAGGATTTTGGTGAGATCAATCCGATGATATCAAGACCCCACATGGCAAAGGGCCATACGGGCGGTGTTGAGTTGAGCGGTGCATGGATGAGGTCTTCATAAAGTTGACATTTGAGACACCAGTTAATGTACTTCCAACAATCTTCAGCCATGGTAATCTAGTAATAGCCTTGGCGCCTGATTTTTTAAGCTAAAGCGGCTGCCCCAGAATGACCTCCTTCATTGTGTAACTCTGTTAGTACTTGGTCAATTTTTGGTTGATCGAGACACCGTAGAATAATACCATCGAATGATTTCTTGAACACGAGATCCCCTCTTACTAATAATCCCATAGAAAACCTTCGAAGGGCTTATTTATCCTTTTTAGTGGCTCCTTCGGGGTATAACTCATCTTTAAGCAAGGAAGAAACATCATGGAACCATGGCTTTGCCTTAACTAGCGCATTTGAAGCAACGAAAGACACTTCCCCATCGTTCTCATTTTCTTGCTCTATTTCTTTTTCGATCCTTAGTAGGGAAGGGTCATGTTTGTTCCTAATGTAGAATGGCAGCATGGTGATTTCTGAAGAAATATCAACCATTGAAGCAAGGGTCGCAAGGGTGTCGACGAACCGATTATTTCCCTAGTTACGTGCTAAAAGGTGATTTTCTTGAAATATGGGATAATCTTTTCCACATTTTCTTGATAGGGTTTGCCCTTTTCTTCTTTCACCTTCCAAATCCATTAAACTTGGTTTATGATGTGTAAGGACTCACCAATCACTCGTATTTGCTGGATTTTTATTCTCATAGCGTTCTCGAGCCCGACTATCAAGTATTCATATTCAGCAATGTGATTGGTACATGGGAAATTCAATCGGATGGCTGTTGGCATTAAAATCTTCTCGGGTGAGCATACTATGATACCTACACCTGACCCATATTCATTCCTTGCACCGTCGAAGTATAGATCCCAAATTGAGTCCTCAATTGTGAAGATGTTCTCATCAAGGATATCCATGTAAACAAGAGTGTTATCTGGCAGTGCGTGTTCAACCACGTGGTCAGCAATGGCTTGTCCTTTGATTGACTTTTGAGAAACATATTCGATCTCAAAATCGCTCAACAGCATTCTCCATTTTTCCAGACGTCCGTTAACGACTAATCTTTCCAATAGGTACTTGAGTGGGTCTATTTTTTAGATGAGCTTGACTGTATGAGATAAGACATAGTGTCTTAATTCTACATAGACCACAAAAGTGTAAAGCAGTGCTTATCCACATTTGTGTATCTTGTCTCATAGTCGACCATGGTTTTGCTTATGTAGTATATCATTTGTTCTTTTCCATGGTCGTCGTATTGTTTGAGCATTGCTCCCATGGTCTTGTCTGTCACTGACATGTATGGGAACATGGGTTTATTTAGACTAGGAGGACTAAGGATGAGAGCTTTGGTGAGGTACTCCTTGATTTGGTCGAACGCCTCTTGGCATTCGTTGTCCCATATGAATGGGGTATCTTTCTTAAGGGGTCTATTGAACGACATGCACTTGTCTGCCAGTTGTGAAATAAAATGCCTTATAGCTTGTATGCGATCTTGAATCCCACGTATTTCTTTGATGTTCTCGGGAGGGAGCATTTCAGTGATGGCTCTTACTTTGGATGGATCCACCTCAATGCCCCTTTGGCCTACTATAAAGCCTAGAAATTTGCTGGATTTAACTCCAAAGGCACATTTCTGTGGATTGAGTTTGAGTTGATGTTTTTCGGAGTCTTTCAAAAATGGTTCTCAGGTTGGTGAGATGATCAGACCTATCCTTTGACTTGACCAGGATGTAATCGACGTAGTCTTCCATGATGGTGTGCATTAAGTCATGGAAGATGCTAATCATTGTCCATTGATAAGTTGCCCCTGCATTTTTTAGGCCAAAGGGCATGACACAGTAGTAGTAAGTTCCCCATTGCGCTATGAATAAAGTCTTGGTCTGGTCTTCTTCTGCCATGAGGATCTGGCTGTAACCAGAGAAGCCGTCCATAATAAGCCATTCATAATTGACAACATCTCATGCCCCGCAGTGTTGTCGACTAAGGCATCAATATTTGGTAATGGGAAATTGTCTTTGGGACATACCTTGTTGAGGTCTCTATAGTCGACACACACTCGGATCTTCCCATCTTTCTTGGGTCCAACCACTATGCTGGCCAACCACTCTGAGTAATCGACAAGGGTAATAAATTTTGCCTTGAGCAATTTGTCGATTTCTTCTTTGATTTTGAGCTCAAGGTGGGTCTTTGACATCGGAGTTTCTGCCTTACAAGCTTTGCTCCTTCATTGAATATTAGGTGATGTTGCACCAATGTGGGATCTAACCTTGACATATCGTCATATGACTAGGCGAAGACATCGTGATATCCTTGAGAAAGAAAATCATATTTTTCCACTCCTCAAGAGATAGGGAGGTTCTAATCTTGGTTAACCTTGGGTCATTCTCAGTTCCTAGGTTTACGTTGATCGTCTCTTCAAGGATAACTGTTGGGTCACCATCGAACCTCTTCTTAAATTTCTCAACATGGGAAGTGAGTTCCTCCGGTTGAGGGATTTCTTTGGACTCTTGGCTCTCTTGATCTTCATCTTTGTCGTCCAATTCGTCGTCTTGGGTAATGCACTGTTATTGGGTTATCTTGAGTGTTCGCCGTTTTCAAAAATTCTTTTTCATTATCATTCTTATCGTGTTTTGAATTTTTCAATAGTTTTTGAAATAACACAAGAGGTGTCCCTTATGGGACATGGGAGAGAAATGTTAGCCATAAGGTCGCACAATGTTCTTGCTCGAAGGAAACGAGCGGGATTTCTCCAAGCATGACCCCTACGGCTAGCTTCTTGTTACCTATACTAGGATTGAGAAAAGAAAGGGGGTGAGCACATGTAATAATCTTAAAATTTCAAAAAAAAAAAAAAGAAAAAAAAAAGAGAAAATAAAATTTTAATAAGTGATGGTCCATATGAGCATGATGGTCCTTAGGGACCATCGCTATCTTCAAAAGCTTTAATATTAAGGTAACACCTTAGGTATGAGGTGGAGCCTAATAAAATAATATAATAATATGTTATAAGAATTTAAATTCAGAGAGGTGAGGATTCTCACCCTAGAAAGTTTTGAAATCTCTCTCTTTAATCGAAACGTAGTGAGCTCTTTTTCTCTGTAGCCGAATTTTTATCGGAAGCTCCCTCTCAAATATTTTAGGTAAGTGACTTCATTATCTTGAAAGATAATCCGTTCATTTTAAAAATGAAATGAAATAATTATTTATGCTTATTATCATGAATTTTAGGCACGATAAATTTTATGCGCAAGCGACCTCATTATTTTGGAAAATAATCTTTTTAATAAAATTGTTATATTAGAAATTTTAAATGATGTAAATTCTTAGAAATAAATTTATTTATTTATTTTTCTTTATTAGAAATTTTAAATGTTGTAAATTCTTAGAAATAAATTTATTTATTTATTTTTCTTTATTAGAAATTTTAAATGTTGTAAATTCCTAAAAATAAATTTATTTATTTATTTTTCTTATCTATTGTTAAAAAATTTTAGAAATAAATGTGATAGTTCTGCTTTTACTAAAATTGTGAGATTTCTTTCTACTGTTTTTGAATATTTAGACATTGTAAATTTCATGTGCAAATGTCTGCCTTATTATTTGAAAACTGATATTTTTGCATTTGATTATAGCATTGTCTGTGAAATGTTTATTTGCAAATTGACAGCCCATAAATTGTGATAGTTGCGTATTCTTGAATTTCGATAAAAAAAAAATTTATACATATTAGATTGGCAATTATGCTAGAATGTCTTTACGAACTGCTACCTTTCTAAATTTCAGTCAAAATATTTGACTAGTTATTTTTTAAGTGTTATTGAAAATGATTGTTATTAATGGTTTCAGTGAAATTCATATTAATGATTTCAATAATATGTTGAGTACATGATATTGCTGCTTTCGAATGTTTAAAGAGATTTAGAAATACTTTAAGTTAGCAAGTGGACTCATCCGGTTCGCCGGTGAAGTTTAAGTGGACTTATCCGGGACACCGGCAGGGATTAAGTGGACTCATCCGATAAGTGGACCGGCAAGGATTAAGTGGACCTATCTGAGACACCGATAGGAATTAAGTGGACCCATCAGGACGCTGATGGGGTATATAAGTGACCTACTTGGGATGCCAGTAGGGTATTTTGTGAAATCCTTTGAATTATGCACTACCGTTAAAATGTTATATGCATTTCAATCATTTGGATTATGTTTAGTTGTGCATTTCTGAAAGTGAAATTGTTATCTGTAAATGTTTGTGCTCGCATTGTTCTGTGTTCTATTTATTTCCACTCTTGTTCTGATTAGTGGGCTTTAACTGTATTTTATGTGTGTTTGGGTTTGTAATCTATTTTTTATCCTTACTTCCTGCCGAATCAGTTTTTATTGATTCTTTTATATTTCTTAATTTTAATTTTGGGGTCTTTCTAGGACGAAGCTATAATTACTGTTGTTTGCTTGGTATTTTGTTTTGTTTTGTTTTATTTTGTTGAGTTCTCTCAGTTTTATATAGGTCCTTTGTATGCTTCAAATTTTTTGCTTCTGCTTGTATTCATGAAACCCTTATTCATGTTCCAGGTCTTTTTAGGGTATCATTATGGCTTAATCAATGGATTCTCTCTAAGATAGGGTACCTAGGGTACCATTGTGATTTTTATGGTGTGTGACTCTTTGCTCTTCTTTCTCCATTCTTTCTTGATTTGTTACATTTCTTGTTTCTGCGATGGATCTAATCTTCCTGTTGGATTTTGGTTTTTTGTTTTAATTTGTTTTCTTGGAAATTGAAATCGCGAGTTTTTATCACGGTCTTCTCTTCCTATTCTTCCATTTTTCCAGTGGAGGCCCTGTTTTTTTGAGATGTTAGGGCCTATACCCTTGGATATAATTTGTTTCTCGTCACATTCTGCTTGCTTTCTTTGTTCATCATTCAATCCTGGCTCTTAGTGCATAGAGCTGCAATTATGCTTGTGTGGCAGGTTGTGCCTCGTTCCCTAATCAGAATGTACATTTGAAAAATATTGGTTCTATAATATGGGCTCTTCTGGTGTTATTATATTATGTCTCTTACAATTTTCGTTTGATCTTCTTTGCTTTTTGTCTTGGTGATTGAAATATATTAGTGCTCATGGCTTTTGTCAACTCTAGTTGTTATTTACCTATTAATAGTTTATTTTAATTCTGAAGTTATTGCTGCAGTGGTTTAAGGGTTCATTGATTTAATTTTCCAAAATTATATGCCGGTAAATGTCTTCAACTGGATGGTTTTGAGTAACAACAATATGTGGCTTTAAATTTTATAAATATACCCTGACCAATAGTACTTTGGATAATTCTTTACTTCATATTGTGATCAGTCACTCATCTCTGATCTGTTTTTCTTTGCAGTTTCTGATTACAATGTTCCTCTTGTGGTTTGATTTTGTCGAACTTCATAGTGATATTTCTTGGACACGTTGGTCCTGCTGTGGCGTAAGCTATATGCTTACTTTTTTTTCAGTTTTCTGGACATCCAAATTTTTCTTCGCTTTATTATTTTTCGCCCTGAGCTTGACAATGATATAGCATCAGCGGATTGGTTCCGGAACTAATCGAAATTCCGTCTTCTTGAGAAAACACCCAAGAAGTGGTTTTTTGTGGAATATTCTTTGTTTTACAATGTTAGTACAATTAGCTTTCTGTTCATTGTTGTGACTCTTCTGCATCTGTATCTTTTATTGGATTGGTTGAAGCTCAGATATTTAGATCCTACAGGTGGCTTCACCATGTTGATTTGCTGGTCACAAATTATGGATTCACATATGGTTAGCACGTTGAGGGTCAAGTTTCTTCCCAATTTTAATTCTGTTTCATTTTTCTAATCTTTAATTCTCTTCCAATGTATTATTTTTGGTGGCAACTATTTGGTCCTTCAGAGACAGTAAGAGTCTTTATCTGCATTTTATGGGATTCGCAGTTCTAGATGATCCATCATGATTTTAGGTGGAAGAAATTTGGCTGGTTGTTGCAGTGGTCTTGTGACTCGAATTGGTGTGTTATATTCCATTCGATCATATGCCCAATGCATCTTGGAATTTGTGATGGCATTGTATTTTTGTAACTAAATTCCGATATTTCTCGTCAAAACTTATTTGGTCTATTTTGGGTTGGGAGCTCTTGCATTCACATGTAGTGGCTGAGTATCTATTGCAATTTTGTATCATTAAAGCCATGCTCAGATGCTCTTTCTAAAGCTCTGCATGGTATTGTTTGATACTTGGTGGCTCTTTGTTTGATCAATCACTTTTAAGGGGTTTGGTTTTCTCTTGATCGTTTTGTTATTTTTCAGGACAGATTATTGGTTGGATTATTAGGTGTTGTCTTGATGTATATAGGAACAATGGATCTAAAAGGGATTGGTTCTCAATTTTCAGGACAGGTTCGTGGTTGGATTATTAGGTGTTGTCTTCATGTATATAGAAGCAATGGATCTAAAAGGGTTTGGTTCTCGATTTTCTGGACAGATTACTGGTTGGATTATTAGGTGTTGTCTTGATGTATATGAATCTAAAAGGGATTGGTTCTCGACTTTGCAAGTTTGTCAATATGTGCCCTTTTGATTATGGGTTATTTCATGTGGTTTGATTTTCACATGTGGAAGCAAAATAAATTTTGGCTACTTCATTTTCGCCAAAGGAAAAACACAACATGTTGGAGTGCCGCTTCCACCTCCTACCTGGGAAGCCAAGGATGCACAAGAACCTCCGTTAAGTCACAGTAAGCAAATTGGTTTCTACATCTCTTACTGAGTTTTCTTGCTCTTATCTTTTTGATTTTAGTAATGGATGATATCATGCAGGCATCGACGGTCTTGGTTGGCATTCTTTATTATTCTTTCCTGAACTTTTATGTCCCATTGACTGAGGCGATTTGCAATTCAGCTGAGTTTTCTTGCTTTCGTCTTTTTTATTTTAGTGGAATAAGGTGATCTAACGTATGTTTTCTTGTGTGCATCGGTGATCTTGTTGGGCATTCTATATTGATATTTCTTGAATTGAGTTTAATGTGCCATTGTCACAGCCAATTTGCGATTCAACTGAATTTTTTTGCTCTCGTCTTTCTGATTCCGATTTTAGTGTAATAAGGTGATGAGTTCTTTTGCTCTCGTCTTTCTAATTTCAGTGGAATAAGGTGATTAGTTTTTTTGCTCTCGTCTTTCCGATTTTAGTGGAATAAGGTGATCTAATGGATGTTTACATTTGTGCATCAGAGGCCTTCGTGGGCATTATGTAATGTTCTCTCAAGATTCGAGTTTTATGCCCTATTGATAGGAGCCGATTTGCAATTCAGCTGAGTTTTCTTGATTTCGTCTTTTCAATTTTAGTGGAATAAGTTGATCTAATGGATGTTTTCATGCGTGCATCGGCAGTAGCCTTGGTGGGCATTCTTTAGTTCTAAACTGTTCTTTCTTGAATAGAGAGTTTTATTTCCCATTAATAGAGTCGATTCGCAATTCAGATCTGTAATCGCAACATTTCCAGTTTGACATTCATTGTATCATTTTTTACTTGACTCTAAACTGCATCATATATGGTTAATTTTCCACGATCTTAAACTGCTATATATATAGTCCTGATCCATGACTCTAAACTACATCATATATGGTCTATTTAGCATGACCTTAAATTAAACTTCATCATATATGGACTATTTTGCCCAACCTTTAACTTTTTATATATAGTCTTGACCCATGATTCTAAACTGCATCATATATGGTGTATTGTTGTACGACCTTAAAACAACTACATATAGTCCAGATCCACAACTCTAAGCTGCAGCATATGTGCTCTATTTTGCACAACCTTAAACTACTATGTACATATAGTCTTGATTCATGACTCTAAACTGCATCATATATGGTCTATTTGGTACGACCTTAAATTGCCACATAGTTCTGATCCATAACTCGAAACTGCTTCATATATGGTCTATTTTGCACGACCTTAAACTACTATATACATATTGTCCTCATCCATGACTCTAAACTGCATCATATATGGTTTATTTTGCACGACCTTGAACTATAATATACATATTGTCGTGATCCATGACTCTAAACTGCATCATATATGGTCTATTTGACACGACCTTAAATTGCTATACGTATAGTGTTGATTAATGACTCTAAACTGCATCATATATGGTCCATTTTGCATGACCTTAAACTGCTATATACATATAGTCCTGATACATGACTATAAATTGTTTCATGATATGGTCTGTTTGGCATGACCTTAAACTACCATCGATATAGTCTTGATACATGACTATAAATTGTTTCAAGATACGATCCGTCTGGCATGACCTTCAACTACCATTGATATAGTCTTGAAACATGACTTTAAAAGGTTTTACCCATAGTCTATGATATATGACTCTAAACTATTTATTAGTCCGCGATGTATGACTCTAAACTGCCTATCACATAGTCCAAGCTACAAGAGTTTTAAACTGTCAAGCATATGGCATGTTTCTTCATACGCCAAGTAAAGCCGATGTTGATACTAGTCCATGCCCCACGACTATAAACTAATGGGTATAACAGTCCGGATGCATGACTCAGCTTTGCCCCCGGTCCATGATATATAAGTCCACGGCGTATGGCCTTAAACATCTCCTAATAGTCTATCCTGTATGACTCTAAACTACAATATCCTCTTGGAGTCTTATGACCTTGAGCATTGGGCCACCCATACACCTTTAAGTAGGAGGTTAGGAAGGCCTTAACAAATAATCTACCCCTGCATGACTCTAAACTACAAGATCCCCTCGAGATTTTATAACTTGGAGCATTGGGCTACCCATACCCTTTATGTAGGAGCTTAGGAAGGCCTTAACAAAAATAGTCTACCTTGCATGACTCTAAGATCCCCTCAAAGTTTTATAACATTTAACGTTGAGCCACCAAAACCCCTTTAAGTAGGAGGTTAGGAAGGCCTTAACAAAAATAGTATACCCTGCATGACTCTAAATTACAGGATCCCCTCGAGGTTTTATAACCTTGAGCATTGGGCCACCCATACCCCTTTAAGTAGGAGGTTAGGAAGGCCTTAACAAATAACACACCTTATATGACTATAAACTATAGTATCCTCTCGGGGTCTTATAACCTTGAACATTGGGCCACCCATAATTTTTTCATTAAGAGGTAAGGAAGGCGTTAAGAAATAGACTACCCTGTATGACTCTAAACTACAGTACCCTCTCGGGGTCTGATGACCTATAGCATTGGGCCACCCATATCCTTTTTACTAAGACGTTAGAAAGGCCTTAACAAATAGTCTTTCTTGTATGACTATCAACTACAGTACCTCTTGCAGTCTTATGACCCTAAGCATTGGCTACTCGTACCTTTTTATAAGAATATGAAATGCTTCAATACAACCCATTTATGTTCCTGTTTAGCAACAAATGTCGAGCCAAGGTTCGATCATTGAACCAATATTTCTCATATAAGTCTATTGTTCCCAACCTACGACCAATGCCTTCGCGGCTTAAGTCAAAGGTTCGATCCTAGACTCAATGATTACAAGTCTATGGTTTCCAACCTACGACCAATGCCTTCGTGGCTTAAGTCAAAGATTCGATCCTCAACCTCAATGTTTACAAGTCTATGGTTTCCAAGCTATGACCAATGCCTTTGTGGCTTAAGTCAAAGGTTCGATCCTTAGACTCAATGATTATAAGTCTATGATTCCCAACCTACGGCCAATGCCTTCATGGCTTAAGTCAAATGTTCGATCCGTAGACTCAATGTTTATAAGTCTATGGTTCCCAACCTACGACCAATGCTTCACAGCTTTAAGTCAAAGGTTCAAACCTTAGACTCAATGTTTATAAGTCTAATGCCTTCATGGCTTAAGTCAAATGTTCGGTCCTTAGACTCAATGATTAGATGTCTATGGTTTCCAACTTATGACCAATGCCTTCCGAGTTGAGCAAGCATATATATATATATATATTATAGTACTAGTCGACTTGCCCGTCTCTTTATTACATGGACTATTTTACAATGATGCGAGATTGGACCACGTCGAGTGAATAAGGCCTTAGCTCATGCATGTACGCGATCAGATACTTTTTTTGCATCAGTTGAACCACCTGTTATTCAATTACGTTTTCATTCAGTTAACAGTTGATGGAGTCATTCGATATGGTAGTAGTATTGGACCGGGTCGTTGGAAGTAGTGGGTAGCTAGGTAGCAAGTGTTGGCTCGTGGGGTTGCTAGTAGCTGGTTGCCTTCGGGGTTCGAGTTGCTATTTGAGTTACGCTTTTGGACATGCGAGAGGGAAAGAAGAACGCCAGTGGGATTGAACTCCGAACTACTTACTTCTGGACTATCTTCCAACAACTTCGTTGCCGGTGAGTAATGAGTTGAGCTGTCGAGTCTTGGCAGATCGCACGGAAGACCATCCGGCTACTATACTAGGCATATTATAGGCTGCTAAGAAAGATATCTAGCCTTGGGACGATCGGAAGACGGATACGCTCGAACCAACCCACCACCTGTACGTACGGAAGCTATGGTAAGACAGTGTTTGCCTTGGGACTAGTCTGATAGCAAACCCAAGATGCTAGCTCGTTGACCCAGATCCGAAACTCGTACTTCTAGCCGCACCTCCACAATACTCCCATCGGCATACTACTAGCTGGCTTATCCCCTACCTCATCCAACTACTCTCGGAACACTGGTGACCCTAACGTCAACTAGCTATCTGCAGCTGGACCTACTAATATGCCCGGCAGGATGGTAAAGGTCCCGATCGTTCCGTCCTACTAGTACTGCACTAGCCAACTGGGTCTCATGAACCACCCTACTTCTCGTACTGCCTACCGATTGAGTAAAACAGGGAAGCCTAGTGCTAGCTCCTACTATATATACTGCTTGAGTGGCCATGCTCCTACTACTATACTACTATGCATCATCACAGCGTGTTCTATACCACGTTGTTTATACACCAACCAACCATCACAGCTGGTTATTATCTCTATGGCTTGTTATACTACTATGGTTGAACTACCTATCTTCACCCAGCCCCCTCTACTCCTTATGACACGACTACTAGAATCACTAATGAGGAAGGAAGAGATTGACACGATCCACTCCTACTACTATGCCGGCTATATACTTGCAACGAGGAAACCTGGGGACTGGCAGACGACTTGGGGGACCCGGCAGCCCCGCCTTGCTTCCTCAACTCGCGATACGGACAGTGCGGTGCATACTTCTCATGCTCCTGTTCCCAACTCCAAGTATAT